GAAATCAATTCCTAGACTAGCTGTTCAAGGTGGTAAGTGATCAATGGGTTAGAGCAGCCTCGCACAGAAATGAAGCTATTATCTTCAAAGTGAGCAAAAGCCTTTTTCCCAGGCCTGCCTGAACGCGCTGAATGCTTTTATTTGAATGTGAAAGAAGGACGGTTGGCTTCACAGCCTTCCCGTGGAATTTGCTCATTTGTATCAACAAGGTACTCAGGGTGCCCAGGCTGAGCTAGAAACCTTTTCAGGCTGAATCTTTTTTTGTTTTTTCTGCTCAGTAAAAGTGCAAATGTTTGAATACTAGGAAAAAGAAGGAAATGCAGTGTTCTTATCAGGGAATCACTCGCAAATTCTAAATGAAGAAGAATATGCCAGAACCGGTCCGAAGAACAAGACTAGGCGCACGGACACACGCATACGTGCTGGAGAGCGCGGGAGCGCGCAACACACACACACACACACACACACACACACACGCACGCACGCACGCACGCACGCACGCACGCGCGCACTCGCGCTGACAATCATAACCTAACTTTCAAACTGTGCTCCCCTCCCACATCCCAAGCAGTGAGCAAGATGGCAAGATCCATTGTGTGCGTGTGTGATCTCGTTCATTCTCACTACAATGGCCCTCAAAAGAAAATGCGGTTGTCATCTCCCCGACCTTTAAAATGGCAGGATTTTTTTCTCACTGCATTTGAAGAAAAGGTTTGAGCCATCTAATCGTTCATCACAATCTAGTAGCTAATTTTGTGTCTGATAGTTAAGTGCTTAAGGCACAAGTGTGTGCTTCCTGCGTTTCAATCCCGCCCACAGGTAAGCCATAGCTGCCATGCCGCCCTGCCCTGTGTGAGCCAATACTGTCACCATGTGGAACTCCTGCGCATAACATAAAATCCTGTCATCCCAAAGAGCCGGAGATTTCACTACTGTATCCTGAACTCTCCTCTAGGTGTGCTTTTAAGCTTCACTTACAAGAGTCCCGTGAAAATCTGAAAAGTGAACCTGGATCTTCATTTTAATACAAGAATTCATCTTGTTGGTGTTTAAGGAAGAACATTATATTTTACTAAGCTTACTCCTACTAGTCCTTTAAAAAAAGTTTTTAAATGATTAGGTGCTATGATGAGATTCTTAGGGAACTTCCAGAAGCACTAAATTTCATGGCAAGGTTTTGCAGAACTCCAGGCCTAAATGAAGCTTTCGTTGCCCTACAGTGTTCTAGCCCAAGCTGGACTATCTCCGCAGGACATGGTGTATGTTACTGAGAATTAGCTGGAGTGTGACTGGGGAAGTCTATGGCCCAATCTCTCTGTCTCTGTCTCTGTCTCTCTGTCTCTGTCTCTGTCTCTCTCTCTTTCTCCCTCTCTCCCTCCCTCTATCCTTCCTTCGTCCCCCCACCCCATCTGCATGATCCTGAGAGAGACCTCTGTGGCTTTGCAGAGCTTGAGAGGACGTTCCCATTCTTCCCTACCTGTGAACTTCTCTCACTAGCTACGTGAAAGTCAGACTCTGCAGTTAAAGACTTCCGGTCTACTGCTTCTAGCTCCCATTAGAATGGGTGCAATATAATTTATATAACTCAATGCTAGTTTTTATGTGAAAATATTCCTCATATATTAAAAAAAATAAAGAGACAGAATAAGTGAATGAAACACGGAGGTTTCAGCAATGATTAAGGAAAGGGAAGAGGTGGTAACCCGATCCTGGGTGAATGAGAGAATGAAGGCACAGAATAAAGGCAGCAAAAGGACAGCTCTGCCGCCGCTGTGTGCCAGGCTGTTCCGCCTGAATGCATAGTCGTGGTGGAGAATAAATTTTGTGCACGAGGCATGCTTGGCATGGGTCTCCCTTGAAATATTTATTGAATGGATGGATAGATTCATAGAAAATGGAATAAATTATAAAACAGCCTTGGTGATGAGGGGGGGAAAAAGAGTAGGATGTGAGGGCAGGGTTCCCTTAGCAGAAGCCATGCTTGGCATATTTGATCAATATCCACTTGTGCAGCAGAGAGAAGGTGAGTGGGCTTTCTAGAGAGGAGACTGCATGGCAGTCACCAGTGACAGGCAACTGTGAAGGAAGGTAAGGAATGTGGAAGAAAACTCACCTCTCTGGAACACTGATCAGTGTGGTGGTGAAGGCGAGGTGGCTGGGGCTGCAGTTCTGAATCTTCTGTGCCCATGTGCCCACAGAGTCATCCAGCTACAGGTCCTAGATCTCCTGAAAAGGAGACACGCCTCTGCACTGAACATAGGAATACTTTATTTTTTCTTGTCACCATTCCTTGAACAGGACAGCATAACAACTGTTCAGATTGGCTTATGGTATTTACATAATCGGCAGATGAACAGTGTAAGGGATGGTATATAAGTCGCTTTTCTGTTGCTGGGATAAAATACCATGACCAGAGGATGAGTGAGATTATTTGGCTCATGGTTGCAGAGGGGTAAGAATCCATCATGGCAGCGAGGCGGGCAGCAAGGAGCAGGCCCAGCAGCAGGAGCAGCAAGCTGAGAACTCACATCCTTAATTGCAAGCACAACGCAGAAAGAGTGAACTAAAGAATGGGATGAGTCTTCACACTTTCAAAGCTCACCTCCAGTGACATACTTCCTCCAGGAAGGCCATACTTTTTAAATGTCCCCAGCAGATTCTCCAACAGGGGATCAAGTGTTCAAATGCATGTGCCTACTGTGGGGCATTTTCATTCAAAGCACCACAGATGGTGCATGTCAGGGGAGGGAATGTTCTATGTGGCCAGCATGTCATCTTTTGTAAGCAACCTGAGTTTCCTCCAACTTGAGTATTCACTGGAGGATCGTATAAGTGTTCTCCACACACACTGAAGGCAACTGTATTCTCATAAAGCAAACACTGCCGTAACTTCCTTTTTATATTTCATTATATACTCAATTTTAAACAAAATTCTTTCCTCGAAGCTAACTGAAGTTTTCCTGCAGGATATCTAAAGATGCTCTGACTGTTTTGTGCCTTTTGATAAGAAAATTCCTAAAGGACATTGTGTTATTTCTATTATGATGCAATGACATTTAAATGGTAATGGTGGACAGACAGGTCAAGCAAGAATCCTCGATGACATAATTATGTATTTGGGTGAGCCGTACCTCTGCTAGCAGTTTCCATAAGTATACGCTTTTGGGGGCTCCTTAAACTAGAGTTCTGTAGAGTATTGACTTTAATGGGGAGCTAAAATGAGGGGAGCAAAATGGAAGCAGTCTGAGGGAGGCTGAGCCACACAGAACAGTAAGGCTTTCTTTGCTACAGGTCTACTTGGACACTTACTAAGCTGACATCATAGAAGTCCCCAAGAGGGTATCACAGTTGATGACCATAGGGCCTTTTCCTTGTGAAGGCCTTGTAGGTGTGTGTGGCTGGTGGAATGCACTCGGGGGAATTCTGAAGATGCAGAGGATGACAATTTACAATCATTTCCATGGCTTCCATGAACGAAGGGAGGCAACCTAGGCAATGCTAGCCCTGGGGTACTGTGGGAGGTGATGGGAATGTGGGGTCAGCCAGCCTCTGTAGCCCCAAGTCACTTCATACTCTTGTCTCAGGTGAGTTGTGGACCTTACCTCCAATGCCCAAGTGTCTTTGTTATTTTGTTATCATCTGGCCATGAAGAAGATTTAACGTAGGAAGGACAGTGGGTGATTTACTCCTAGACTAGCTGAGTTCCTCTCTCTAAGTTTTTAAAATCCTCATCTCCAAAGAAGGTATGGGCCAGGGCCAGAGCACAAATATAGGACCACATACCCAAAGTTGATTCATAAAAAATTATAAATCGAGCTAAAACTGATGGCTATGTCCCACCCTCTTATCTTGACAAACACATGTGACAAATACATCTTGACAACTATCTTTATGATCTCCAGGAGGTTGGGTTCAAGTGACTTATTTGTGAGTAGCTGGGAGGTTTGCAGAGACACCAGACCTCCAGGAGTGCCACTGGATTCCTCCCTCCCGACTCCAGTGCTGGCTGCCAGGGAAGAGTGTGCAGCAAGAACAGCGTGCCCTCAAGAACCAATGCACCCCTGCTCTGTCCCCACTCTTCCCAATCACCACCCCGTAGGTTATTGGTGCCCTTGTAGCTGGCTCTCAGGACAGCCCAGGGAATGAATTGGAATACCCTGGGGATTGTTAAGGGTCTGGACCAGGAACCTCCAGAGCTGCTTTGGCTTTGGGGAACACGGCCCCTGCAGAAACACCAGCAGACGGCAGGTCAGGGGTCTAAGCAGAATTTGGGGGGCTGAGGATGACTCCTCTGTGTGAACCACACTTTGAAAAACTGTGATTTTTGCAGCTCTCTCTGTTTCAAGGAAGTGTTGTTTGAATTTAACCACCTCTGATCTTCCTCCCAGAGAGGTAGGTTACTTTCCCTTTGGCATTAAAAGGAAAAGTACATCAGTTGTGTGAAGAGCTGAAAATGATGTATTTTATCAACATCAAAACTTGTCCCAAGGCCTTCTCCCGCACCATAATAAATAATAGAAGTTTTATTTTCATTGAATTCCTGTGTGTATAGCATATGCTGGGTCATATTGCACCAGTGTGTGGCTAGAAGGCAGCAAAGGGGTTCTTCAAAAAAAAACATCATGGTCCAGAGCTGTGTTCACTGGAGGAAAGGGCAGGGTTGCATCAGTGTCAGACTGCCTCAGAACAGCACCTCGTGAATGTAATTTGAAAAACATACTGCAATGAATGGGGAAGGGGCCACTAGCGTTCCTGTGAGAGCAAAATAGCAAAAGAATGGAGGGAGAGACAGAGGGAAGGAGGGCAAGGTAAAAGAAAACCCCTGGACACACGTGTCACCGGATCAAAGCATCCATGATTTTGGCTTGGCAGTGCTCTACCTACAAACTGCTCTAGCGAGCTAGACCGATCATCTTTAGATGGGAAGTCATGATCGTTCAGGTTGTGGACAAGGCAGTCACCCCGGCTACAGTCACATGCACTGTGTTCTCCACCCCCAGGATCCTGGAGCTGCAGCAGAGTGGAGACATGGACATTCTCAAGCACAAGTGGTGGCCTAAGAATGGCCAGTGTGACCTGTACTCCTCGGTAGACGCGAAACAGAAGGGAGGAGCCCTGGACATCAAGAGCCTGGCAGGCGTGTTCTGCATTCTGGCCGCGGGGATCGTGCTCTCCTGTCTCATAGCGGTGCTGGAGACGTGGTGGAGCCGGAGGAAGGGCTCGCGGGTCCCATCCAAAGAGGTACTTGAACTTGGGCCCCAACTAGAGCTGCCGGATATCCGGTGGCTGTATTTCCGGGGAGGAAAGGGTAACATTAGCAATTGCTTTTTCTGCCTTCTTTGAAGATTCAAAATAGGCATGTGGCGAGCCAACACCAGTTTCCATTTAGGACACTCGGGGTAAATAAAGAGCAAGGGTCTGTGAGGCCGACAGTGTCATGTTCTGTACAGCAGGCTCTGAAGTTCTGAGTCTCAGGCTACCTACTAATGATCCTGCAAGGCTGTGGTTCCCTTGACCCAGTTCACAAAGATGCTTAATAGTTTCTTTCAGTTCCTAAAGTTGTAGATAAACTTGTGTTTTAAAGACTAGGCCTAAAAGACCCTGGCATGATGCTTTCTCTTCACCATTAGTCACGATGCCCTATCTATGTGTGAAGATCTGAAGAAATGACTGTGTGTCTGGGGCTCTCCCATGAGCCCAACTGTGCCAAATTCACATTGGGAAATCATTCTGAATTCTGCTTACCTCCCTGACTATGCCACCAGCTTAACAGCAGGGCCATGTTCAAGTTTGTATAGCTATCTGTCTGTGAGAATGGTTGCAGAATTATGCATAGTGCCTCAGTGAAAGCAGCATGTGAGGTATATCCAAAACCAGAGAAAACATTAAAAACAACAATACTTGGCTCGTTGATCTTAAAAGAGTTGATGTGAAAAGCAGCAACTTGAGTTTATTCAGTGGTTTGATTTGAGGGGCAGTTTCAACAAGAGTTTTAAACTTTCTGCCCAGCACTTGGCTGGCTGATGCCCAAGGAAGTCCACAGAGGATTGGCTTTGATGTACAAATAAAAAATGATCTCTCATTTGTATATGCATGTCTGCGCGGCAGTGTTTGTCTTTCGAACATCCTTATCTACATAGTCTAAGGATCCTTGTAGCTCCTTAGATGCAAAGTAGATCAGTACCGTTCATAAAAACAGCTTCGCTTTCCTTGCTTCTTACCTGTGTGAGTGATCATACACAATCCCATTCCTTGGAGACCGAATTAAAAGCTAATCAGGTTTACTGCCATGCCGTCTTTGTAGAGTAAGTAAGCATTGATATCTCTGCTGACATCAACCCAAAGCAAAAGGCCACATTAATGCAGATGGTAGCTGAGACTCGATGTTCTGCAAACCCTGGAAATTAAGGGCTCCTGGGCTTCTATTTTTGAATTACTATAGAAGATATTAAATGTTTGCATTGTTATAGCTGTTGATGGATGTCTAGATTACAGTTGCCTTGGGAACCATAAAAATTATACATCTCAACCTTCTGAAGTCTCGGTGATAATGCTGCATTAATGGATTTTTTTTTATTGGATTTTAAATGAGAGAGGAGAAGGGAAAGCAGGGCTGTGCATCCTGGCAGGGTTCGCTGCAGAGTACTACATGCGTGGCGGGAAAACACATACCCTGTTCTAACTTCCTACAGCCATTCCGGGTTCTGTGAACAAATATTTTCTCCTCTTATGATTAATGAACATTTTTATAACCTCAAAAATTTAGTTTATTGACCTTGGCTCTAAATAAGTCTGATCACAAAGAAAATTTTATTTCTTCTCAAGTCTATTTTTTTCAACCCTGAAGGGTTTGTGGATAGGATTTCTCTCTAAAACTCTGAGGCTTTACTGCCTTTTAAAATAAATAAATAGGACTTCCTACAAACACATCCACTTAACATAAAACTGACCCTCAGTGAAAGATGTTTATTCACATGCCCTGACTTGAAGGAATCTGTTAAACGCCACTCTGACCTCACAGTTGCCAGACGCAGGTGCTGGGCATCGCATGTCCCTGTCAAGGAGAAGTCTCTCTTGTGCTGACTCTTTCTAAAAATCATCATAGCCCTGGGCTGCAAGAAACAACACTTTAATAGTCATTGACACATTAGCACGAAGAAACCCATATCTCTTTCATCTAAGAACAGAAAGTTGAGGCTAGTCCTAAGCAATAGAAAAGATCAAAAAATCCATTTGGAATGAGACTCAAAAAGAGGAAGCATGTACCGAGAAGGGGTGGCAGGGTTGAGAGAAGCCACCCGAATCAGACCCTCTGCTCGCGTCCCTGCCTGAGCCTGTCCTGCGTCTTTGTAGCTGCATGTGACATACGTTCATTTTAAAGCTCCGGCTGCAAAGAAAGTATTTATTATAGATACTTTATCTCAAAGCCCTGTCAGGATTCCCAGAAACGAGCTCAATGCCTGGCTCATGCTAGGGGCCAAGTCAATGTCTGTTAAGCGAATATGCCCCAAAGTTCAGTTAATTACATGTTTGCTGAACAACTTTTTTTTTTTTAATCCATGCAAGCTAGTACTGATGAGAACCTTATTTTCTTTTTCTTCATCTCCAGGATGACAAGGAAATTGACCTGGAGCACCTTCATAGACGTGTAAATAGCTTGTGCACAGATGACGACAGCCCCCATAAACAGTTTTCCACCTCGTCAATTGACTTGACCCCTCTGGACATTGACACTTTGCCAACACGACAAGCCCTGGAGCAGATCAGTGATTTCAGAAACACTCACATCACCACCACCACCTTCATCCCAGAACAGATCCAGACTCTTAGCCGCACACTCTCAGCGAAGGCTGCCTCTGGCTTTGCTTTTGGCAGTGTGCCGGAGCACCGAACTGGCCCTTTTAGGCACAGGGCCCCTAATGGGGGCTTTTTCAGGAGTCCTATCAAAACAATGTCATCTATTCCTTATCAGCCTACTCCCACCCTGGGGCTCAATCTGGGCAATGACCCTGACCGAGGCACGTCCATATGAGCAGCAGACAGCTCCGCCTATTCTAGGACTCCCCCAAAGGAGCAACTGTAATGTGGGACTAACATGGATGTGACGTTTTATTTAAAAGAAATCAGGATAATTAGTAACAATTTTAGTTCTTTTTCCTCACACCCCTTCCCTGACCTATTGCTTTTCTCTCTCTCTCTCTTTCTCCTTCTATCTATCACCCTCCATTTTTTTCATTACTCAACTTGTTCCCCAAGAATATAGTATTCTAGGATCCTATTAGTCTGCTTTTCATACACTGTACTTCAAGTATAGGGAGTGAGCACTGGGTCGCTGAAAGCACTGGCAGGGTTGACTTTGCATACAGGGCTCCCATGTACCGTTCCTCTGTTTTGAAACTATAATTGCAATAACTTCAGTCTTTCTCCATCTTCAGCTGCATCCATAGAATTCTCCACTGTTGTCAAGCGTCCTTTAACTGTGGACCAAAGGCAACCCCTGCAGTGTCTGTGAAACGATTTGAAGACCATTCAGGCCACACACTATGAGAATGCAGTTTTGTAGGATTACAAAAAGCCATGAATCTGCCAGTCAAGACTATACAGTTAAAAACCCCCTTGCACTGTAGCAGTGCATGCCACCTTCATGTGATTGTACAATATTCCAACTTTTTCTTATGTACAGTAAACTTTACCATATGGCAAAGGCCTTTATTGTGTTAAATAACTTAGTATTTCATATATACATATATATGCACCTATATAATGTGTATATATATATAAATGCAGCCATTGCTATTGCAATTCATTTAATAAAGCTTTAGTTTAAAAACCAAGCATTGTGTACAGGAGCTATGGCAGCGCAGGAGGCCTTTCCCGTTGGAAAGGCGGGTTGCTTTAATGTCATTCTGACCTGCGTTGTTTGCCAAGAGACTATTTTATAATTTTGTTATTAAAACATCCAGGGTGATTTCATCTTTGTTCCTAGATGTACTCATTTGAATAGGTTTTGCATTCATTACTCAGCAGTGTATAAAGCTAACCTTGATAATTTTACCTTTTGTTAATTATCTAAATGGGAAATGCCATTAGCTGAAACCCCCCACACAGCATACAGAGCGGAGTTTAACCATAGATCATTGTAGGTTCAAAATCCTCTTCCGAAGCTGCAAGCCAATCCACGTAACCGTAGCTAGGGAGGAAGGGAAGCCCCCCAGAAGTGTCAATGTGGCCTTATTTGTGTCATACATCACCCTACAGCAAACGTAACAACTATACTGGGCTCTCTCATCCGAACCCCCTTCCTACCCGCTTCTACTTGGAGGTGTTCTGTTTTTTTTTTCAAAATCAGTGCCAAGTGTGTCAGCAGGGGCGACAAGCAAAAATCAGTGCCTCTTTGTGCACAATCCTCTAAAAGTAGCATTCTTATCTGTTAGAAACATAGAATGAGCTTCATCTGTAATCCTTAAACTCGACGTGGTAAGTAGAAAGCAGGGATTCACCCTGTGTTTTCAGGCAGCCGTATGCTTACTTTACTCTCATTCGTTCTGTGGCTAGGATTGCTAGAGGATCCAGCCTATGTGGTTTGCTTTAGGAGCAGTTAAGAGGTATATTCTTACGGTGTATTCTATTTTGATCTAATTCTGTTCTGGGGAGCATCTTGTACTGTCACTGTTTTTGTACTAAATCTCTAAATATTGTCTACTGTGTCAGGCAGAAAACTTTCTTATCATGAGAAACCACTTTGTTTCCAGGGTGACGCGTCCCGCAGTGCATGCACACCTTGTTCCCCTGTGACATTCATGTTCTCATTTCCAACTCTGATTTTCAAACAGAAAAGTCTTTACAGCTATATAGGGGCACACCAGATGCTGCAGTGACTTCAGCTACCAACAAACTGTTAACCATGTACAACACTGGAAATAGGCTGATTTTGATGTATTGCCTATTCTACAAGAACACAAAACACTTTGGAGGCCTCAGTTATGAGTGGCAGAGCTTTCTGTGTATAATTTGTCTACATAATTTGTCTAATAAAAACGTTTTCTAAACTTGCTCTCATACTATTGAAGTCTTAACTATAAAAGTAAAAGATGCTGATCTCACCGATCTGTCTGAACTTCTCGAAAACACTGACATTATTGAAGTGTAGAACGACTCTAACTAGTCAGACACCAAAGGGAGTGTCTCTCTAAAAACCGTGCTTAAAGATGCCCTAAGCCAATCAACAACTGCTAATCTGC